TATATTTATTTTAACACATTTTCTCATCGAGTTAAGAACAGTTGCTGCATTTTTCATTTGGTTATATTTTGTTCGCTGCGCTGTTTGTCGTTTATATCATTAATTATTTTTAATTACACCAAAAAAACAAAGTAGAATTTGTTAACAACAATTTTTTCCGATTCATTTCAATTTTATTTATATTATATCATATTTGCGCTAAATTATGTGGCTTGCCAATTTTTAGCCATTTGCTAATTAAATTTTTTTTTCTTTTTCCTAAATTGTTAACTAAATAAAATTTCCTAACCAATTAATTTTTTTATGTGTGGAGGCGTGTATGCGTGTTCATATTTGGTTTTTTTTTTTTTTTTTTTTTTTTTTGTGGGGCATTTCATAGCGTTGGGTAGTTTTTCTTTTAGCGCAAAGTTTAGTCATGTTTTCTTTTTCTTTTTATTTGTATTTGTAGCTCTTTGTTTTATTTTTTCATCTTCTTTGGTTGTTGCTGTATTTATTTTGCATTTTTAGCTTACGTTTTTTTTTTTTTTTTTTGTTAGTTTTTCTTGCTGCTACATTTTGCTTGTGTGTCTGTGTGTGGGTATGTGTTAGTCACTTCTTTTTTATTAATTGTGACTCCTTAACTTTTCATCTTATTCATCATTTTTCTTAATTTTGTATATTTATTATGCTTTTTTGTTGTATGCCTAATTCGCGCTCTCTTTTCTCCTTTCGGCTTTCTCCACTAGCTGCTTGAATCTTTCTTGTTTAGCTGTTCTTGTTGCTGCTTTGCGCTCATTCACTGATCATGCTTTGCTCCATGTTGGGTATCTTAGTCGACCATTAACTCAAAGTGGACGGATCCTCTCCTATCCGAGCGATCATGTTTGATGTTGCGAGCCCAGGCTTTGCACTCAATGTTGATCAATACGCCGGCTATATAGAGTAAAAAAATTGAGTTTGTTAAGAGGGTTATTCAATTAAAGGAGAAGAAAAACATGTTTTCAGCTATGTAATATCATATACTTATTGATGTACATATAACTATTTTTAAACTAGTTCCAAGTTGTCAATCTTTTATACTTGAAAAGTGATGCATCGAAAAATTCACTGGCTGATAATAAATTTAAATTTTAGACCCAAATCTTTTCTTTAAATTTTGACTAGCATAAAATCCTACATTTTATGCAACTGGTTAAATAATGTACAAATACAATATGTTTACTGAAGTCGAAAAAAATATGTAGTTTCCCCCTCCTCAGTAAATAAACTGAGTCTAAATCTTGCTGTAGTTATTAATAATTTTCTTTTGGACTCAAACTAAGTAAATTAATGAATAAATTCCTATTATTGTTAGTTTAATTGTATATTCCGTAGCCTACTTTTGTGGTACCCTATTCACTCCATCTACAATTATCTATGTCCATTTAGTGTGGCTGGCGAAGCGCGCTAATGACTGTTAGTTAACTGTCGTAGCAATGATAGCATATAATATATGTGGCTTAACAAGCATACAGAATTAGCTTAATTCTCTTTTATACATACACACTGTAACTCTCTCTCTCTCTTTTTCTCTTCCTCTGTTTTTCCCTCTTTACAGACTAAGGAATTATTACAGTTTATTGTGCCATGAAATTGGGTTTTTAGAAGATTTTCCTTTGTTATTCCCACTTTTATTTTTTTCCTTTGTTTTAGGGCACGCAATTGGGTTGGCAAAAGTGGAAGAAGTTAAGCAAAAGCTAACTCAAACTCATATGACTTTGTTTATAATTGCTAAATAGCTTTTGGCTATTATTTAAAGACTGTCTTATATATAGAGCGTAAAACTAACAGAATATTTTAGTTAGAGAAAAAGACTTTTTCTTTTGAAAAATATCCTTACTCATATGGTCTTTCATCTATACCATCTATATCTTTTCAAATTTAGTCATGCCCAATGCTTTATTTACTTAATTCGTTTCATTTAATTCATCATATTTCATATATTTATACTTACTTTCAACGGTAAACTGAACAGCAACAATTGGCGGTATATAACCCTCGATATTTTTGAATGGGAAATAGAATGAGGGGAAACCCATGCGCGGATAATAATCGCGTGACTTAATGTTTTCAACATCAGCAGGATTCTCGCCCTCGCACGATACCCAAACAACGGCAGTCTATAAATCCAAAATCGTAAAGATATATAAGCTCGACATTCACATTATACAACATTAAAATGTACCTCATTTGGTCGCAGGCTCTGCTTCTCCTTGATGTGTTGCTTCAAGCCCTCGGGCATGTCTTTGGGCAAATTTGCTAAATCGTAAATTTGTGGCTCCCAGTTGTAAATCTAAGCAAAATGTATTTCAATTACAGATAAATAATATGTTATATAAGCTTTATATAGACATAGTTATCAATTTACCTTATTCAACTTGAGGAATATGCAGGGCCTGGCCACGTGATAACCAAAGTTATTATCAAGAGTGCAGGGCGCAAAGCTAGAAACTTCAACGCCACAGACTTTGCCCTCTGGTGGCGGATGCTCAAACGAGCAGTTCACTTGATTCTTCTTGGGTAGATCATCATAAGCTGTGTATGAATAGATTTTACACATTTAAAAAATAATAATTAATATGTGTCGATATCTGCTTAAATATTATATCTAATATAGTTAAAGCCATTATTTAATTAGCGTCTATCAAATGTGGTTTCATATAGCAATACTTTATTTAGGCAAAAACATTGATTACACTCACTGTGATCTTTATTATTTGTTTAGACACAAAAAACAAATTTTTAATGAATAAAAATATATATT